CAGAGGCACGGAGCGCCTGACCGGGAGCAACCCACAAAGCAACGAAAACAGATTGCGGAGTTGCTGCGATCCAGTAAAACATCTTAGAGGTCACTCTCGGTCCCTGGACAACCACACAGGGCACTATTTGGAGGGGTTAAAGAGGAGATGGTGAGGCATTGAACAGTACCAAAAACATGTGGTAGCTCAATGTACCAACGAAAAGCGCTGTCGTTGAAAGTGACTGTGACTTTTCACCCAGCACTATGGAACTCTGTGTCGGATCAGAGGATGCTTGTGGCCTAGTCAAAACTTAACATTAAAACTATTTGAGCTAGGCACCTTCAATCCAAATGCCTTTTGGACCGTATGGGCGCTCGGGGGAGAGCTATCCATGGGTGGCACTGGTTTGGGGATACAGGCACAGAAACCCTGGTTTTTATGTGAAAAGGTTATTTGGTGCCGAAGTGTCTGGATGTTAATAAAATAATCTGGTCATCTACAGAAACCTAGGTACAAGGTATTTGCAATGTCTTTTGTTCTCCTGGTGACGAACTGTTTGGGACTCAGATATAATGGTGTTACATTCACTCCAATAAGTTAGTTCTTCTTTACCCTTATATTTAGCCATGACTATGAATTAGCTATATTCACTTGTGAGCTAATCACTAAGGGGGAAAGGGAGTCCTTGGCTGCGACACTCTGGTGCCCTGTGAGTAGGCTACCACACCCATATTTCTACTGATAGATTTCGACTATAGATACTAGACTACTTAAGGTTCCAGGTCTGATGTCCTACAAGCCTTTTGTGGGATAAAGAGTTGTGGGCATTGAGCCTGTAATTTATTTCAGCTCACTCTAACCAAAGGGTTTCTGATTCAATGTTCAAAGAATTTTGGATGGTTCAAAAAGTAGATTGCCCTAAGGATTGCCTAATTGGAATCTGAGTGTAATTCTCTGGAATAAAAAAATAATTTTCGTCTTCTACTTCATAATGAATGAGATTAATCAAAGTAATCACAATTCAATTTAATAGTATAATTTTCTAAAAATGCCTCGCTATTGTAAGTATTAAATGAATCGGGCTTTAGCCTCCAAGAATTCCATCCTTTGGTTTTTGCTTCCTCTCAGGGAGATGGCCCAGTGTGTGATCAATTAGCAAATGGACAGTGTGCAGCACTGACAATCAATGTCTCTAAAGACACTAAAGACACTAAACTTTGCTCAGAGATTATTTATAAAATATTTTACCAGGAATGATACATTGAGATTTCTCTCATTTCCAAGTATGTCCTTGGTCTACAAATTGATTCAATGCATCTCTATGAGGAGATGCTAATTGGCCAGAGTAGTGTTTGGCTCCTCCCCACCTTCTTGGTTGAGATAATCAGAATTGACAATCTCCAATGGGTAAGCAATGTGATTGACTGAGATCATTCCTTTTGATAATGTCAGCCAAGGTAGCAGGGGGCAGTGCCAGCACCAGCAGACTGGAATAAAGGTAAGATTTTACTATATTTAGGTGGGCTAGCCCATGTTTTTAACACCATAGGGTTAGGAATACATGTTTGTCTTATCTTTGTTGCTGCATGTTAACACTGTAGAGACTAGAAATGAACATGATTGGGGAACTTATGAGTTATGTGGCTAGCAATTTTCTTTTTTTTTTTTTTGGTTTGGCGCATATCTTTAAAATGTTAGCTTTAAGCTGCTGTTTGGATTAGTAAAGAAATTGAAAGCATAGTAGGAGCCTCCTGTCTTTTACAATTGATGTGTTGTATGATGTCACACCTTAAAATATCAGTGCTTTGCTGCATATGATGTCACCTGATGAGCATATCACCTACCCAATTACCTTAGGTGGAGGCGGGGGACAGGTGAAGGTGTTAAGGTGTTACGGATCAGTTTTGTAATTGATGCTTGTTGTCTGTATTTTGTTCTCTATAACCTGTGTACAGTAACCGAATAATTTTCTTTTCAAGTTTCCTTACAGACACAACTGTTTATAACATTCTCCACTTGAGTCTCCATATTTTAAAACTTAGTTTGTAAACTACTTAGTAAAGGAATGCAATAGGTTAGTGAGCAGGAGAAGGAAGTTATTAATTACAAATAGGAAGTGATCAATTAGTTTAATCACCCATATACATGCTTAATGGTTTGCTAATTGCAACTAATAAATGGAGCTAACGGATTACTTCCTGTCACTAATGAAACACATTGTTTCAATTTGTAGATACGATCACTTTGCTTCTTTTATGCTCACAGGAATTAAATAATTAGGTGTTTAATCTAAATGATTTGACACATTATCTGCGTAACTACATGTAGATTAAATTAATATGTGATGCACATACTGTAACCCTTGGTTTTACCTGAGCACATGCCCTAATCATCTTCTGAATCCGTTCATCTCAATCTGTCTGTTCCATTATATTTACTCTTTGAATTGTTATATGCTCTGTTGGCACGCTAAAATACAATTATTATTATTGCAGTGGCCACTGATGGGTTATAGATCTTATTTTGGGCCCAACCGCTAAAGTAAAACCTTATTGTCAACCAAGATAATTTATTTGAAAATATAAAGAAAGGGTATAAGAAAGATATTAGTAATGTGTTACAAACAAAACGCGTCAATCACCTATAAGCGACACAACCCTTCCAGGCGTTGGATACCAAGCAAATAAAACAAAGAAATGTGTTGCAAACAAAAATAAGTTATATAACCTCCTTTTAGGTAACCGCAAAATGTATACAAATATTTACCCATAAAAAGTATTAAACCATTAAAAGAAGCTAATATTATAACACTGTAACACATCCTGGGACATTTATTGCACACAAGCTGGATCCATTTGAGTTTTTTTAACTTGCCCGATTTACATCAAAATATTTATTAGTCCAGAATGACTTCTAGCACATAGAGGGTCTACCTCATCCTGACTTGTAAGCAAAGTGTATGGCTAAATATAGTCTTGATTTGCCACAATTAATAAAATCGTAACGCTGCTCACCAGTGTAGATACTCCATAGGGTGCTGAAGGAAAAATAAATTATGTATTGAATGCTACATGTTGTATATGAATGCAGCACTTATTATGGCCAACACCATGCAGCAATATTTTATTTTATTTATTTTTTTTAACCTGGAATGTATGGTGGGTTTAAATCCTTTAATTGTATTGTTATACATATTGTCATTGTCTCAGGTTTGTTTTAATAAATTGACTTGGGGGAAAAAAATGATACATTTTAAATGTAGATCTTTAATTGAAGCCAAAACGGCGGTAAAATCTAAAAATACAACTAAAAATAATGCACTGAAAGGCTTATCCTAAAAAATATCTCCACAAATATAAATAGAATAACAATAAGAAAAGTATTCAGATGCTCAAAAACACCTATATGTGTTACTTTAAACCACATAAACTAATCAATAAATGACTTCAGTCTTGAACATACTGCACCATATTTTTCTCTTTTTTTATTGTATCTACTACATTTGGAGTGAGGAGACGAGTGGCACAAAGAGGGAAGAAGTCACTCTAAGGAGGCTCCAAAACATTATAGAGCAGAGACAGTCTTACAGGCTCTGAAATATGTGAGAGTTCATTCACCCTACAGCAAGATTGTATTCATATTATCTTGGACTTTTTATACTGTTCGTGCCATTGTATATGTGTTTCTTTCTTCCTTGAGGTATTTCTAAGGATCGATCCCATAATTTATCTACGGTATTCCCAGAGTGAAACACTAAGTGCATGGAAGACATTTTTGCACTTTTATATTGGAAGTTAATTTTGTCCATGCACGTTGATGTGTGAATGCTTTTGTAATTTGAAATTTCTGGCTGATGAAATTTGCACTTTATTATGTGCACTTTCTAGTGTGGAAACACATTATGGTAAAGTCGAGAATTGCACTTTATTTTCTACACTTTAAAGGTATAATCCCTTTACACATATTTATTACTAGGGGCACTTTAACAAATTAACTTATTGGAGGTAAAAAGGTAGCACTATTATCTGAAGAGCTCCACCTATTTAATAATTTATAAAATAGAGGTAAATCTACAGATGGAATAAATTAAGGTGAAATACAAGCCGACTTTAATGGTTCCTAATTCATTTAAAGAATGAACACATTCATGGTTAAAAAAAAACCTCTTAAATATGTTACTATTCAGAGTTACTATTTTGAGTCTAGCAGTTAAGCAGAGCCCAACAATGAGAAGCTACACTTTTGTTTACTTTTTACACTTTTCTTTACTACAATTACTAATCACACGGACAGGATTATTCACTAAAATTAGAATATTCAGGACTACAAAGTGAATTTTAAATTTAAGTACAACGTAGCCAAACTGAAAGCAGAACAGATTAGGAGAAATTTTCTAGATCAGCTATTTTGCCCTTAAATTTGAAATTAACTTTGGACTTCTGACCATTCTCACTTTAGTGAATAAAACTGTTAAAGGGCAACTGTCACCTCAAAACTGATTTTTGATATATATATATATATATATATATATTTTTTTACCATATACTTTAGTAAACAAAAGTCTATTTCGTTTAAAAACTTGATTAAAGGATTATTATATTAAAAAAAATGTTTTGGGGTGACAGTTATTCTTTAGTGTTTTCTTACGATGGTGTTAATTCTGTAAACAGGGAATTGACCACCGGAATTTTAAATTTAAAACCTAGTTATCTGGGCTGGAAAGTGCTGAAATGGAGTTAGTTATTTGGTGAAAAAAATGGTATGTTATAGAAGTAGAATTTTTTAAACAAGAGAAATACTCAGAAAGTGAGTGACAGATATATAGAGAGAAGGGGATATAAACAGAGAAAGAAACTGGTATAAAGATATTTAGTGTCATAAGAAAGAATACATACAAAGAGAAGGAAAGAGGCTGGTTAAAGATACATGTACATTCCAAAACATACATACAGTTGCAAGAAAAAGTATGTGAACCCTTTGGAATGATGGATTTCTGCACAAATTGGTCATAAAATGTGATCTGATTATCATCTAAGTCACAGCAATAGACAATCAGTCTGCTTAAACTAATAACACACAAAGAATGAAATGTTGCCATGTTTTTATTGAACACACCATGTAAACATTCACAGTGCAGGTGGAAAAAGTATGTGAACCCTTGAATTTAATAACTGGTTGAACCTCCTTTGGCAGCAATAACTTCAACCAAACGTTTCCTGTAGTTGCAGATCAGACGTGCACAACGGTCAGGAGTAATTCTTGACCATTCCTCTTTACAGAACTGTTTCAGTTCAGCAACATTCTTGGGATGTCTGTTGTGAATCGCTTTCTTGAGGTCATGCCACAGCATCTCAATCGGGTTGAGATCAGGACTCTGACTGGGCCACTTAAGAAGGCGTATTTTCTTCTGTTTAAGCCATTCTGTTGTTGATTTACTTCTATGCTTTGGGTCATTGTCCTGTTGCAACACCCATCTTCTGTTGAGCTTCAGCTGAGAGACAGATGGCCTTAAGTTCTCCTGCAAAATGTCTTGATAAACTTGGGAATTCATTTTTCCTTCGATGATAGCAATCCGTCCAGGCCCTGACGCAGCAAAGCAGCCCCAAACCATGATGCCCCCACCACCATACTTCACAGTTGGGATGAGGTTTTGATGTTGGTGTGCTGTGCCTTTTTTTTGCCACACATAGTGTTGTGTGTTTCTTCCAAACAACTCAACTTTGGTTTTATCTGTCCACAGAATATTTTGCCAGTACTGCTGCGGAACATCCAGGTGCTCTTGTGCAAACTGTAAACGTGCAGCAATGTTTTGTTTGGACAGCAGTGGCTTCCTCTGTGGTATCCTCCCATGAAATCCATTCTTGTTTAGTGTTTTACGTATTGTAGATTCGCTAACAGGGATGTTAGCATTTGCCAGTGACTTTTGTAAGTCTTTAGCTGACACTCTAGGATTCTTCTTCACCTCATTGAGCAGTCTGCGCTGTGCTCTTGCAGTCATCTTTAGAGGACGGCCACTCCTAGGGAGAGTAGCAGCAGTGCTGAACTTTCTCCATTTATAGACAATTTGTCTTACCGTGGACTGATGAACAGCAAAGAGATACTTTTATAACCCTTTCCAGCTTTATGCAAGTCAACAATTCTTAATCGTAGGTCTTCTGAGAGCTCTTTTGTGCGAGGCATCATTCACATCAGGCAATGCTTCTTGTGAAAAGCAAACCCAGAACTGGTGTGTGTTTTTATAGGGCAGGGCAGCTGTAACCAACACCTCCAATCTCATCTCATTGATTGGACTCCAGTTGGCTGACATCTCACTCCAATTAGCTCTTGGAGATGTCATTAGTCTAGGGGTTCACATACTTTTCCACCTGCACTGTGAATGTTTACATGGTGTGTTCAATAAAAACATGGCAACATTTCATTATTTGTGTGTTATTAGTTTAAGCAGACTGTGATTGTCTATTGTTGTGACTTAGATGATGATCAGATCACATTTTATGACCAATTTGTGCAGAAATCCATATCATTCCAAAGGGATCACATACTTTTTCTTGCAACTGTAGATACATGTATAAATACAGAGCATGAGAAACACCTATCTTTGATTTGGCTATAGAGTACTACCTTTCGTATACCTATGGTATAAGCTTAGAGTTCTATTAAAAAGTGAGTAAGCCACTTAGTTTGGTGAAAGTTCAGTGCAGATCATGCACAGCCTGGAGGTTTGCAGCAAATGTATGGACTGCCAATTCTTATGAAACAAAGCATTCATTATATCTCCTGTAACTGTCAAAAATAATAAGTTCTCAGTGAATACTTTTCTAGCAAGCTCATTGACCAGAGCCCTCAACCCCTCTTTTCCTGTGCATCCATTTGTCTGGTTACAATTACGTTTCTGTTAGTCCACCCATTGTACAGTGCTACGAAATGTTGTTTGCGCTATATAAGTAATAATAATATATACTAATGCCTGCTAAGGTATACATATGATATGTGCATGCAAACCTAGTATGGGCTAAACCAATAAACACAGTGCACTTCTGATCTCTATCACTTTCTGTAAGCTTTGATTATTGAATATATCCTCTAGACTGTAAGCTTGTTTGAGCAGGGTCCTCATCTACCTATTGTTCCTGTGTCACTGTGTAATTGTCTCATTTATTGTAAATTTATCCCCCTTTCATAATATTGTAAAACGCTGCGAAATTAGTAGGAGCAATATAAATACCAATAATAATAGTAATATCATCCAAATGCTTTATAAAATATCAATCCTTTAAAAAGCTTGCCTTAGACACTGAAAATATCCCACTGGCGTTGGTTAAGTGGCAGTTTGGCTTTTTTCATTTTTTTTATAGCAGATAATCGTCAAGACCAGCTTTGTACTGTAAATTAGAAGACTAAAATTATCTTTTCAATCAGGATAACACGTGTTGGATATTTAGATATTGGTAACCATGGAAACAAACATTTTCAACATACACTGATGTTGGCTAAACTGCGTGTCTGTAATTGTTACTGGTTTGCTAATTTGCCAGAAGCCTTTAAGAAAAATTATAGAAGTTAAGGTGGCTTAAAACAAAATTAGAATAGCACAGCAATTATACTGTATCTAAACTGAATATTCTGTCAAATCAATATGTCTGGGTATTAAAAATATGTACTCGTCAATGCCATCTGGCCTTTTTATCTCCATAAACATCTTTTTATTTGTTTTGCATTGTTTTATTAAACCCCGTTACGAATGTGTTCTTACAATACCTATTTGTATTGTTCCGAGTAAATGAGTCTTAGCTCAATGCGTGCTAATAAAGCAACGTGTTTTTTGGGTCCCATTAGGAGGGCTACTGACAAATCGCAGCAATTGAGAGAAAGGAATTCCAAAAAGCAAATGATGGTAGGGGAATATTTCAACTGCTTCCTAAACTAACACCGAGGACAAAGAGAATGCGCACACTTCATGCGATGCAGGTTGCGGGGTCATTGCCAAAATTACTTGAGTAAATTACCTTTCAGAATTGCATTTCCTGATGAACAAGAAAGACCGGGTAGAGGAATAAAAACAACAAACAAACACAGAGAAGTATTGTAAGAGTACCGCTAAATACGCCAGATCTTGTAGGCGATTAGTTTCTGCTTTTCTATAAACAAATATAAATGAAATTTTATTTTGTTTTTTTGTTTTTGTGAAGAATAACCCCCATCTGTAGGTATGTTTTTTAGTAAAAGAAGACTGAAGTAACTATTCAAGTTCTTGTGAGGATGGGACTCATTTGCCAAGTTGCAAAGATTTATCTGAATGGCAAAAAAATGTTCTAACACAAATTGGCAATTTTCACATTTAATTATTTTTAAAGGCAAATCCTATTCAATTGCTGCTAATTACTTTACAAGCAGATGTATGTGTAAGTAAAGCAAGAGCGGCCTCAAAGTATTTGCAGGGGCGTTTTAGCCGCGAGGCAAACAAGGCATTTGCCTTGGGCGGCATTTTTTAGGGGGCGGCAAAAAACGCCGCCCCCAAATGCCCAGGGCAAATGTCTAGTTAGCCTTGTGGCTAACAGACATGCCAGGCGGGCGGCTGGCGAGGGAGCACTTCCTCTGAGCGGTCTGCTCAGCTCCCTCGCGCGCCGCAGAGTGAGGCTGGGAACCGGAATATGACGTCATCTTCCGGCTCCCAGCCTCACTCTGCGGCGTGCGAGGGAGCTGAGCAGACCGCTCAGAGGAAGTGCTCCCTCGCCAGCAGCCAGCACAGCCCAGCCCGCCTGGCAGCCACTGGACCACCAGGGGGAGAGAGACACCCCCCCCCCCCCAGCACTCCCAAAGGTAAGGAGGTTGGGAGGGGGAGTTTAAATTAAAAAAAAAGTTAATGTGATTGTGTGTGTGTTTGTGTCTGTGTGTGTTTGTGTCTGTGTATGTGTCTGACTGTGTGTGTCTGTGTGTGTTTGTGTCTGACTGTGTGTGTGTGTGTTTGTGTCTGTGTGTGTGTGTTTGTGTCTGTCTGTGTTTGTGTCTGTGTATGTGTCTGACTGTGTGTGTGTTTGTGTTTGACTGTGTGTGTGTGTTTGCGTCTGACTGTGTGTGTTTGTGTCTGACTGTGTGTGTGTTTGTCTGACTGTGTGTGTGTGTGTTTGTGTCTGACTATTGTGTGTGTTTGTGTGTCTGACTGTGTGTGTGTGTGTTTTGTGACTGTGTGTGTGTTTGTGTCTGACTGTGTGTGTATGTGTCTGACTGTGTGTGTGTGTTTGTGTCTGACTGTGTGTGTGTTTGTGTCTGTGTGTGTGATTTAGAAGGTGGGGAGGGGGAAGGGTTGGGTGGGGGCGCTTGGGGGGGGCATCTGAGTTTTGTCCTGCCTAGGGCAGCACAAAACCAGTATACACCACTGAGTATTTGCTAAAAAAAATTGCAAAAACAAGGCTGACAAGTTATTTTTGTACATAAGACAGTGATGGCTAACTACTAATTTTTGTTTTGCGAATTTTGATGCTCATGCAGATTGTGGAAAATGTAGCATGGTAAATATTGTGCAGAAATATCGTCATTGCCAAATTTGACATCAATGCAACATTAATGGTCATCTTTACTGCTACAAATATGATCTTCATTATTGCAGGGCCTCTAATAAAAATGTCAAATATTAATACAATTTACACACTCAGATGATTTATTTAATCTAAAGTGCAGCATAATGGAATCATAGGTGTGATTTGTAAATTACTGCATAACTTGGAGGATTTATCCGGGTATATCAATTTAAATAGAATCTGACAATTTTTCAGTTTCTCGTTTTTAGGGTTATCTTCTTCAATACTCTCTTGTTAATTGTGTCTTTCATGGATTTTATTAATCTATGGCAAGGCTAATAACATTTGCAAAATATTAGGTTTTCATTAATATTTTATTTAACCCCTTAAGGACACATGACGTGTGACATGGCATGATTCCCTTTTATTCCAGAAGTTTGGTCCTTAAGGGCTTAAAGTAGATATAAACTTTTTTTTTTTTGTAATCCAATATGCTACGTCAGTCCAGTCTCTTTGTGCCGTTAATATCCCAGGCATCTATGGAAGTTTGACTTCAAGGGGAACCTTAAAAAATGTTGTTTACAATAAGTTTAATAGCTCATTGTTAATAAACAGAGAAACTGCCTTTATTCTACGCACTAGGGCCAATATTTGTACCAATGTATTTCCCAAACATGCATCTGTAAAATGGGGTACCTTAGCAAAAGTCATTAAAACAAAGTGTTGTTCAGAATTTAGCTATAGTAACACATCCATCTATTTAGGTAGAACAATTCTGAAATGTGATACAACATGAGCAACTGCTTATTACAGACAAAACTAGGGACGTGGCTCTTCAAGCCCAACATCTCCCTGTGTGCTATTTACTAAAATATCTATCAGATATCAGAAATGATTGAACAAACTGCAAGAGTGAATCATGTTTCACAGAACCCAATCTTTGTGCTACGAAGCATTGGATGAAACAAATTTGATACACCACCCATATATATTTTTTTACTTACATTGTAATTGAAAGCCCCCAAAATCTCAATTTAGACAAAAAGTGGAAAAAAGTTTTGTTCTATTCTGACATGGTCAACAGGTCAAGATAACGATAAAACAAAAGGACACAGCTGTAAGGATGGCGAAGCCCTCTACCCAATTGGATCCTTCCAGACCTTGTCTAAAGGGATAACACTGGAACATAAACAAGTTAGAAGAGAAGACCACACTCCTTCAAGTAGAGAATTGTAAAATAAACATCTGACAGGTAAATAAGTAGATTAATTGTGTCTTATGAAAACAAACTCCTAAGGTCAATCAGTGAACTAGTATAGTCAAACTACACTGGTTCACGCTGCTCAATAAAATGCTACAATCCTATAATCTAATAGAATTCTATACATGCTGAGGATTGTAGGGTTTTGATTAAACTAATTGTAGAGTTAATTTAAATCCTTCATAACCTCTTTGTGAACGTCTGCACAATCTAGCTTACCTGATGCTTCCTTCTTAGAAAAGATGCTAAAGGCAGTAGACAATAGAGGTGGCAAATAGAGTATTAAAGTTGGCGTTGAATGTAAGACTGGTAGGTAAAAAAAATAAAATTAATGAATGGACTGTGCCTGAACCAAATAATTTCCTGTCATCAAAGACTATTTTTGTACGTTTTTAAAGATTCTCCTTGAAAATGACCAGTACACGAGAAAAATGATTGTAGAGAGTCTTACAGTGGTACTGTCCCTTATTCCGATAAAGTACACATGACATATGGTTGCAATATGCTTAAAACACAGTTCAGTGCATATATAAATTGTCACTTGCCATTACAGCTAAGTGATTTCTCAGTTTTAGCTTCCAGATAGAGATCAAGCTTACATAATTGCAAAATTAAATTTGAAAGGTAAACACATTGCTGTGTCTCATCAGCTTTGAAGGCCCTTTGCACCGGGAAATCATCAATCTTCTTTTTATCTCTGAAAAAGAAATGTGTTTTCAACACTCGAAAAAGAAATCCTGTGTCAACAGTTCGGACACATTTGTTTCAAAGTACAAATTCTTCAGAACAGAAGAGAAGATATTCTGTATGTTTCTGAATGGATTACTTCGCTATGGTATATTTGTATTAGGTGTAATTCTGTGTAAAGAGAACTATAAGGTATTGTTCAATTTATAATTCATTTTGACAGTTGTATATAATCATGTAAAAATAATTAGTTCAATGGAAAAGCAAATTGTCAGACTTGAAAAAAGGGAAGGGTAGAGAACTGAGGCAAAATTCAGAGTGCTACTTGTGGACATAACAGTTAGAGATATGTTAATACATTGTATAACTCGTTCTGCCGCTTTGTGCTACAATGTAACTACGTGACCCACCATTATGATATGATAAAAGCTAAACTGGCTGTTGCTGGAATCCCGACGTACCCTACATCTTTCCAGCCTTGCGTATAGGAGTTTTTCTGGGTAGCTCCCACCCTACCTATAACCTCTGATCCAGTACTAGCATTTTATTTAGCATACCACAAACAAAAATAAAGTAACTTGATCCTCATTTTCTTACAGAGCACCGCAATTATGGAATAACCGTACAGACAGAGAAATCTTCATTCAATCTAAAATCCTTTAAGAGATATATGGCAACATATCTCAATGCAGAAAGCACCTGTAATCATGGTTGACTATATATTTTTTTACCTGTTCTGTGTTAAATTTATATATATTATAAACTTTCAAATAGCTGGTATTTAACACAGCAACGTTTAAAGAGAATTTACCCAGAGACATCGGACAGCTGTTGGAGATGCGATGTTAACAAAGGCAACCTAATACATAATTGGTGGCAATGCACACCCATAAACAATTATTGGAAAGATATAATAAATGTAATACACCAAATAACTGAGATGGAATTAGGCTTTGAACCTGGAGTAATCTTATTACATTTAGGATCCCCAATAATGAAAAAACAAGTATTAATGTTAATATTACACATTACAAACGCAGCCAAACTACTCTTAACACGAAAGTGGAAACAAGAAAAATCCCAAATATCAAAATGGAAAAAGGTATTTTAATGAATTTGGGAAATAGATATGCCCAGATAGAAGATTGGGACATGTGGATAAAGAAAATAGAAACACTAATCGAATAGTTACACAAATACGTTAGAAATATTTCCAAATAATAACGTAAGGGTCAAGAAGTTGACCCCGGAAAAAACAGGCAAAAAAAATAAATAACTATTAAAAAAGTAAAGTAAGTAGTATGGTGATCTCTCTCTCCAAGAGATAAATAATCGAAGAGGGATGAAAATAATGGAATTTGTAACATTATCTAAAGGAATGTGGGGGGGTTTGGGTAGGGGAAATTGGGAGTTTGATAAGGTTTAAAGAATTTCTCCCTCTTGCTTCTTTTGTCTTTCCCTATCAATTAACCTAAATTAGGAAAGAAGCGAATCCAATTTTTTGTCTGGGAAGCTCAATAAGAATTCAAGGGGACAGAGGGGAGAAGACACTCTTTCCTTTTCCATTAATCCTTTTGTTTCAGTTGGTCCCTGCAGGCAGTTGCTTCATGTCCTCTGCCCATTTCTTGCAGGTAAGTGCTGTGTGTGTTTTATTATTGTTTATTTTTTCATGCATATCTAGGCAGATAGGAACCCACCGTAATTGGAGTACTTTGGCGCAGTGGTGGGCTGCATACATCTTGGCCATTTATGTATGCCTAAATCTCCAATGTTTTACATATATAGTACTTAGTTATGTCTCCTCTTGTTTTGCCTAGTATCTCTTGTCTTGTATTATTTTGTCCTGTATTCCCAGTTCATGTACAGTCCAGTCCTGCTCCTACTATCAAGATCAGACATACAGGGTCCCGGTCACCGGACTGCCACCCCTGACAATAACTTAATTATATAAGGCAGGTATAAGTCTGAAATGGAAATAAAATTAAAAATATGTGGGAAAATAATATATTAAATAATTGTCTTGGAATTGCATGCTCCTCAACATTGGATGACACTGCTGGGCAGATAAAATGTGGCAATCAGTGATATAATTTGCGTCAGACTCCACTAAATGTCAGGGATCTTACCTGGAGTGGGAGTCCGGCACGCAGAGTTGAGGCACCCTTTGCAATTCGACACAGACCGAGGGGACTCAGGACAGAAATCCCCAAGGCTGTGACACAGTGCACTGGGGCTGAAATAACCAGTGCTTCCTGGAACGCAGTACAGACAAGGATATCCAGAAGAGTAGTCAGTATCAGAATCAGAAGTCAGGACAGGCAGCAATCAGGCGAAAACAGTAGACGAGCAGGAGATCAAAAGCAGGAGTCAGATGAACAGCAGTGAAACCAAACAGGAACAGGAAACACGATCTGACAACGAGAACCAGCCTTGCGGGGTTTAAATAGGGAGTCTCAGCCAATCATCAAGGAACCAGGAACAGGTGTGCACATTCCAGGTGAACAGGCTCAGACTACAGGATACCAAGAACAACCAGAAACAGTCAAAGATGCGTGGAGCTCAATGCAAGGATACCGACTGGGATGCAGGAAACTCAGGTTTGATCCCAGCCAGACCCAAATACACAATATTGTGTAAAGCACAATGGCGATCCTGACATTACCCCCCCTTCAAAGACGCCGTAGGCGAGAAGAGGAACGCAACTTACGACCCAGGAGGTTACTTTTTGGATTTCTTGGCTTTGGTGGTACTAGTAGGAACAGAGGTCATAGCTTGTAGGGCCTTTTCAAATACTTGCAAGTCCTCCTTCCGGACTAGAGTCCCATTAGAGGCATAGGTACAGCCAGAAAGAGGGTCTTCCTTGACAGGACTTGTAGTGGTTGTGGTGCTTGCCTTCTTAGAAGCAGAATCTTTAGTAGAAATAGAGATCTCAGGTTCTTTAGTAACAGATTCCTGCACAACCTCAGGAGCAACGACTGTAGAAGGCTGAGGATTGGACAGAGTGGTCAAGCAAGGACAGGCAGCATGTTGGCAGACAGGTCTCATAGGATATGCCAGAGTAGTACCCAGACGGAGAACCCGAGACCTAGATGGACGAATGGGACAAAAAGATATTAAATGTCCCATCTCCCCACAATAATAACACAGTCCATGCGCCATCCTTCTTGCCCTTTCTTGAGATGACTGACGGAACCTAACCAGTCCAATCTCCATGGGTTCCTCCGCCTCCCTGCCAGATGTATACGATGTTTCGGGAGACTTGGGAGCGGTAGGGTTAGCTGTAACATCAGTCCGAGTGAAAGGAGTAGTGTAGTCCATTTCCAGTCCGGGTTGCAATATGTGTGAAGCAACAGTAGGTGATCTATGTACATATGACTTTTGTGTCTTGTTGCATTGTAAACCCAGGGACCGAATAAAGGACTCCCAGGAATCTAGGACTGGGCTTTTGGCGAGTAACAACTGGTGGGCCCAGATCTTAAGGTGCCCCGACAATAAGGTAATCGCTGTCCTCACTTTAATGACGTCTGTGGCATAGGTAAGTGGTCTCAGGGAGAACAGGACCTCGCAATCAACTTTGAAGGTATCATACTTAGACCGGATCCCAGAAAATTTCTCGGGTAGAGCAACCAGCGGTTCAGAGAGTCCAGAGTCATAGGTTACTCTCCCTTTAAGGGAAGCCAGCTCCTGCTGTAAGCCCTGCAAAGCCTGGGTGAGCTGGGAAACTTGCTGGGTCAAGGCTGCAACGGTAATCTTCAACTCTGCAGACTCCATTTGGTCAGATCGTACTGTCAAGGATCTTACCTGGAGTGGGAGTCCGGCACGCAGAGTTGAGGCACCCTTTGCAATTCGACACAGACCGAGGGGACTCAGGACAGAAATCCCCAAGGCTGTGACACAGTGCACTGGGGCTGAAATAACCAGTGCTTCCTGGAACGCAGTACAGACAAGGATATCCAGAAGAGTAGTCAGTATCAGAATCAGAAGTCAGGACGGGCAGCAATCAGGCGAAAACAGTAGACGAGCAGGAGATCAAAAGCAGGAGTCAGATGAACAGCAGTGAAACCAAACAGGAACAGGAAACACGATCTGACAACGAGAACCAGCCTTGCGGGGTTTAAATAGGGAGTCTCAGCCAATCATCAAGGAACCAGGAACAGGTGTGCACATTCCAGGCGTACAGGCTCAGACTACAGGATACCAAGAACAACCAGAAACAGTCAAAGATGCGTGGAGCTCAATGCAAGGATACCGACTGGGATGCAGGAAACTCAGGTTTGATCCCAGCCAGACCCAAATACACAATATTGTGTAAAGCACAATGGCGATCCTGATACTAAAGGGGTAGACTCGCCAGAAAAGGGGATTGGTGCACCTGAAGAAGTTGCAGGTCAGTCTGGCATGAATACCTGCTATTCCTTGTGCTTTTAGCATAATGCAAGGGCGCTTGATGATGCATTTGCTGTACACCAAGAATCAAAGTCAGGACAAAGGGACAGGAACCTAAAATGTGGATTGTCCTATTAACACTGGACGGTTGGGAGGCCTGGAACTGATTGTTTACAATGTTACAATAACAGTGGGAAGCAGAAAGTGCACATCAATTTTCTGCTGAGTTACTACCTTGTTTAGGCAGAGCTCACTGCAGAAGCTACAAAAGACATTTTCAGAAAATGCAAGAGTTTTTAAAATTATTTATTGTAATACATATATTTATGTATTAAAACAAAGGAATGTCCCTCCCGTAGTGTCCTTACCCAAATAATCAGCAGATTGACAGATGTTGCCTAATTTCATAGGTCATGTTTTAGAACAGACTGTTTTCTGGAGTTCTATGGTGTAAGTAGTATGTAATCCATTGCCTGGGTGTTCTGAACTGGGCAGGTGACCCCAATATTAAAAATAAATGCAATGATACCAGTATTTTAAGAAAACCTACACTATTTCCACTTTTTTCTCGTTTTTTCGGCTGCAAAATGTCTTTAAAATATATTAAAACGTATGTAAGAAAAATGACAATAATTTGATTGTATGATGAACAGGGGAGCTTTTGAACCTCTCCCTCATTTCTCCTCACTCCATATATCATGGGATAGGTAATAAGGTAATAAGGCGATAGACTCCAGTGATTAACTCCGGTACAAGCCATTCATTTATACAGTTTGCAGTGCTCATGAGTATGCAGTGAGAATTCAATGACAAATCTCACAGAACTCGGTATCAACCCAGTTTTTTTAATAAAGAATGAGTCAGTTAGCTTCTTGAAATGTCAGCCAAAGAGGATTACTTAGTCTACACATATTTTTATATCTATTCCACTATAAACCTACCTAGTATTTTACTTTATCAGCTCCACCATTCGTAGTTTACTAATAGCTTACCATATAATACCTTTACACTAATGCTAATTTTTTTTTTCTCCCAGTGTAATTCCACTGATCTCATTACTCCCTCCTTTAACTCCCCGTTCATTACCGTTCCCATCCCCTGACATATACTACCTGTTAACAAAATTAATCTTAAAGAGGAACTGTCACCTCTCATTTAAACCATTGAAAAATCACCTAAAACTTGTGTTAACCTTTTTTCATGACATTCTCTGTTTTCTTATACCTTTTTCGTAAAGGTTTAACAACATAATCCAGTTCAGGCAAAGCCAAGGCAAGCACTGCAAATGAAGAAGATAAATATCATAGAAACTTGTTTTTCCCTTTATGTCTCTTTTTTTTCTCTGAATGTTTTTTCTAGGCTGACTGCCAGGTGCAAATTCTATGTAAGTATATAGGATATCTAATATATATGTATATAGGATATCTAATATACACACACACACACACACACACACTGGTAGGCAACAACATTAAAGCCATCTGTCTAATATTATGTAGGTCCCCTTCTGCTGACAAAATAGCTAATGCACTGAGGCTTGGACACCAAAAGATCTCTGAGCCTGTCATATGGTATCTTGCATTAAGACATTAGCAGCAGATCCTTTAAGTTCTGCATGTTGCGAGGTGGTGCCTCCATGGATCTGATTTGTTGTTCCAGAATAACCCACTGATGCTCAATCAATTTGAGATCTGGGGAATTTGGAGGCCAATGTTCCTCAAACCATTCCTGAACAATTTTTGCAGTGTGGCAGGTTGAATTATCCTGCTGAAAGAGGCCACTGCCATCAAACTGTACATAGTTTGCAACAATCTCAAAGTACGCTATTCACCTGATGTAAAAGAAAATGCGATTCATCAGACCAGGAAACCTTTTTCTATTACTCCATGGTCCAGGTCTGAAACTCACGTCCCCATTGAAAGCGCTTTCAGCGGTGGACGGGGGTCATGGGCACTCTGAGAAGTCTGTTGCTACACTGCTCCATATGTAGCAAACTGCGATGCACTGTATTTTAAAACACTTTCCTATCTTGGCCAGCATAATGTTCAACGGAAATTTGAGCTGCAGTAGCTCTTTTGTGTGATCGGACTATATGGGCTAGTCTTCGCTCCCTACTTGCATCAAGAGCCCTGGGCACCCATGATCCTGATTCTGGTTCACCGGTTGTCCTACCTTGCACTACTTTTGGTTGGTACTAACCACTGCATGCCAGGAACACCCCACAAGATTTGCCGTTTTGGAGATTCTATGATACAGTTGTCTAGCCATCGCTACTTGGCCCTTGTCAAAGTCACTAAGTTCTTTTTGCTTGCCCATTTTTCCTGCTTCCATCACATGAAATTCAAGAAATCACTGTTCACTTACTACATAATATAGTCTGCAATATCGTTACAATAACAGGTGCCATTGTAACAATATAATCAATGTTATTCAGTTCACTTGTGAGTGGTATAATGCTGTGGCTGATAAGTGTGTGTATATATTTAAATGCAAAAATACTTATGATGATGGCACTCAAAAGGGAAAATCGGTGCCAGTATCAGGGTCACCCTAAAATTCAACCTACAAACTTCTAAATCATTAAATAGGATAGCGCACTCAAATTAATATAACAAAATGTTGTATTGAAATATTGTACAAAACAAGAAAAATCAGACCCTATATTAATCTGTGCGCCCATAGTGTCATCCGCACATCAAACTCATGAAATACATAGATAACTCAATGGCTATATCTTTATTTATATATTTTTTTATGGGGTGGATTTACTGCAGTAATTCTCTATGACCTTAGAAGGATATACTTCCTCTGATATAGCCATTGAGTGATCTATGTATTTCATAAGTTTGATGTGCGGATGACACTATGGGCGCACAGATTAATTGTATTTTCCCTTTGAATGTATTTGAATGTAAACATAGGGTCTGATTTTTCTTGTTTTGTACAATATTTCAATATTCATCATTTTTCTATATTAATTTGAGTGCGCTATCCTATATATTTATATGTATGGATAACTAAGCATAATGCTAAAATGTTGTGACTGATCAATGTAGGTGTGTATATATATATATACATAATACTAAACATAAAACTACAAATCCTGGGAAGTGACAATTCCACTTTAATATTTTTTATATTTGTCTGATTCTAAACTAATTCATTGTAGCCCATAACTAAAACTACTGACATACATCTAAAGCAAGGTTAAGAAAAAAATGATTCTATCCTAATGTGTTGCTCCACCCGTGACTTTCTCTTCTTCATCTCTTATAGAACACTTTGTTATAAAAAAAAAATAAAAGTCACAAG